TGTGCTGCGGAAACCTCGAAATACGGGACGCCCTTGTGCGTGGCCCAGTCGCGCCCGGTCTGCTCTGGGACCGCACGAGGCCCAGACTCGACCTTGGCGGCCACCACCGCGAACTGCACGTCGCCAGAGCTGTGCTTGGTGGCCTCCGAAAGCCACTGCTGCAGGGCCTGGAAGGTGCTCCTGGAGGTGACGTCGAACACCAGGAGCACGCCGTGGGCCTCCTTGTAGAACTCGTTCCTGACATCCGAGAACCTCTGGTCTGGCAATGCTTCGGGCTGCGCGCAGGTGACCCCGCGGAAACAGTACTGGCTGCCCTCGACAGGCCACCAGGGCATAGGGAAGCAAAGGAGCACGCACCACACCTGGCCCCCCGCCTCCCCAGAGGGGCAGGGGGGAGGTGGGGGTGGGATATATTTTTCGTGTCCTTTTTGCCAGGCATCCTCGCAGTCGGGAGCCGAAGCTCAGTGGCCCAGCCCCAGAGGGGTGGTGGAGGTGCATATTCCTTTCCCCAGAAAATAGCCCACGGCTGTCTCAGCACCCCACTCCTGGGGCGTACAGCGCCCAGGGGAGGGGAGGGGCGCCGCCGCAGGCGCCCCTGCGTGTTCAGGCCGCCCTGTGCAAGCCCGGGGGCCCGTGGAGGGCAGCCAGGGCGATCTCCGCAGGCTGTCTGTGACAGACAGCCCGCGGAGATCGCCTGGGCCGCCCCTTCTTGAGCTGCTTCTTGAATTGCTGTCTCGTTGCCGGACGAAGCGGGCCAGCCCTGCATGACCTGTGCGCAGCCCTGAGCCTTGCGCCTCTGGTCGCCGCTGCAGTCCCAGACGTTGACCCTCAGATCCTTCCCCCTGTGCTTCATCGAGCGCACCTCGAAGTCGGCCCCCACCGTCGGCGTGCAGCCGCCCGCCAGCGCCCTCCGGCCGTGGTGTTCCGAGAGGAACGCCTGGACGAGGGCGGTCTTTCCGGTGCCGACGTCCCCAACGACCAGGACCTTGGCGTTGCATACGTCCTTCGCTACCGGCTGCACGGGCTGCCGCCGAACCAGCTCCGCGTCAGCCACGGGCATCTTCTGGCCAGGGCGCTGCGGCGGGCGCCCTCGCACGGGGCTGAAGCCAGGGCGGCTTGGGCCAGAATGGCTGCGGAGAGTGAGGGGGGCATGCCCAACCAGCGAATAGCTCGGGCATTTCGACTCACAAGTTTACACGAACTGCACGGATTGAGGGCGGATGCTTTCAAACTGGGATTCTGTCGTGAGGCGTCGCCAGAGTAACGACAACAACCTTGAATGTGTGCGACAACTAACTACACGGACGGAATATGATCCTGTCCAAGCTGGAGCCCGTCGCTTGCGACGCATTCGGACTTGATTCCCAGGGCCTTTCAACGCTTTTTTATCTGACGGATGGAGAACAAGCCCTTATCAAAACGGGGCGGCTCTCTATGAAAACGGGGCTGTGATCTACAGAGTGCAGTGGCCGAGCTGTCACATCCTGTCCCTTGATGCGTAGCTGAAAAGCGGCTACACGGTGCGGATCCATATTCTTGTGTTCAAGAATGTTGCGGGGCCCGCCCCCCCGACCCACCCGCGACCCACCCCCGACCAGCCACGCGACGAGCCCCTGACCCGCTCCGCGAGACGCTAGCGACCCACCCTCGACCCATCCGCTAAACACGACCCACCCACAGGCGTATGCGCCGGGCTCGTTGTGCAGTGTGCAAGCCTCGCAAGCTGCAGACGACCTCTCTGCCCCCACACCCTTCTCTGCAGCTGCGGGGGCTATGGTTCATACTGGCATGCCTTTCGCTCAATTCACGAAGGAGGGACCGCACTTCCTCGCGGGGCTCTCGCCTGAAAGACGGGCCGACGTGGGGCACTTCTCAAAATCGTACCCCTGTTCGTCCCCAAAGAAGCCCCAAAAAGGACGTACGCGCCTAACCACATACATGAATGTGCCCCCCAATTCGCGAGGCCGCTTCAAACATATGTGATGCTCGCGTAATGCCTTCCCTGCGGAGCCAATGCAAACCCATGTCTGCCATTCTGGTCCAAGAGAGAACAAGGATACAGAAGGACGGAGAGCGGGGTGAAAGAGGAGGGCGAGGGGCAGAGCGCTCTCGCTTTCTCGGTCCTCGACCCAGGCTAGAAAGCGCGGAAGGGCCGAAACTTTGCATGCCCCGGCACTCCTGCCCGCTACCCTGGCCCCCTCACCACTAGAGAGGCCTCCTAGGTGGGGGTCGGAGGATCGCATCGGTGATGCATCGGCGACGTCGGCGATGCATCGCCAACGTCGGCGTGGGGAACATCGGGCTACACATCGAGCCGCATCGCCTGTGCATCGGCGATGCGGCGCGATCCTCCGACCCCACCACCACCACCACCACCACCACCACCACCACCACCACCACCACCACCACCACCACCTGCCAGCTCCCCCGGGCGCCCGCCTGTGTCCGACCTGGGCGAGGCGAACTGGAGGTCCATCGCCCCGCGCGGCGCGGCCTCCGCCTCGCGAGGCGCGCGGGGGCGCCGCCCCCCTGCCCACGGCGGGGCGGCCCGGCTGCCCGAGCGACAGTCGCTGTCAAGAGGGCGGGGGGGCGTCGGGGAGCGGGAGCGGAGAAATAGTACAGGGGCCCAGGGAGACACAGTAGATCGGCACAAGTTCCAGGATTCCCAATAATATGGTCCCACAGCCGCTGGCTTTCCCTTTTCCCCTCCACTTCCCATGTGTTCCTACATTCTCGTGGGATTCGACGTTTATGTGTGTCTGTGTGCGTTTGTTCCCTGCTGAAAGAGGCTGGGAGTGAATGAGACGAGGAGATGTGGATGGGGGAGGGGGGCGCCAACGCGCCGCGCTGGTCGTGTGAGTTGCGCTGCAGCACGGTCTGTTGCTGGGGCCCTCGCAGCAGAAAAGCGGCCGTAAATGCTGCTGGTCCACGCGCGGCGGGGAGGGGGGGGAGCATGGTCAAGTGTCCTGGGAGCCGAAGCGGCAGAGGCCAATGACGCTAGAGCGGGAAACTTCAGAAACAACGGAGGCGGAGCAAGAGATGGGGGAGGGAGACTGGGAGAAAGAGAAATGCATGCTCTAAACGTTATCTCCGTCACCAAAGACACCCAGATATCACCGAAGACATCCGCCGACTCCAGGAACATCAGTAAGTGAAGGGGGAGGAGGAAGGGGAGGACAGCCAGATGGGGAACTGAACTGGCTGGGAGGAGGAGGAGGTGCAAGGAGGGCGGGAATGCGGGTGGATGCTGGGGAAGAGGATCGAGAGGAGAGGGGGGACGGGGAGAGAGAGGAGCATGGCAGGACCCCCTCCGCCACCCTTTGACGCCCAGCCAGTGCCTGCGCCTACAAGTGGGCCACCAGCTGCGGACAGCCCGAGGAGAAACTTATTCTCCCGACTCCTCGGGGCCCAGCCTCGAGATCCATGTAAGACTGTCTGCCGAGTCGCAAGCTCGACGGAAAACGGGCCCGCACATCTGGTGTGTCGAAAGAGACGCGCGGCATCCGTCGACATCTGACGATTCGAAGCATCGGGGCGGCTGGTTTGTCGCCATTCTCGGCCTCTAGAGGCCAATTTCGAGCATTCGAAAGATCTCGTAACGTTTGGGGGAAGAAAAGCTGGCCATGAACTCTGGGAAAAGGTCGAAAGATCTAAGGAAGGGGACGGAGAGACCCGTAAACGGCGCAACTAGGTAAATCGGGACATTGGCGCGTCCGATGATTCTGCAGGCGTGAATCGAAACATTCTCCTGCTAGATCTGGACAAATCCGGTGCTGGCAAAGATTCAGGGGTAGCATCGGATGTCTGGGTCGGGAGTCTACGCAGGCAGGGGACTTCTGAGAAGGCGGGGAGTTTTTAGAAGGCGTGGTCCTTATCAGAAACGCCTGGATGCTTCTACGAAGACGTACTTGAATCCGGCAGGCCTTCTTACAACCCCCCCGCAATCTTAGAAAACCGCGCCCCTCGCACCACCCTTCTGTCCGCGCCGCCACGAACGACCAGAGCCGCCCGACCGCGTCCGCATGAGTGAGTGGCCCATCGACCAGGACAGATTCGCGAGAGCGTGGGGGGCCCGCAGCGGGGCGAGTGCGTTCGTGGTCATCTTTCCCTGTAGGCGTGCGGCCGCCCGCGGGAAGGGGGTCAGACTGAGGGGGGGCCGTCCTCTGAGAGGGCAGGGAGCTCCGCGCGGATGTTCCTGGATCAGCGCTGGACCCCCCTGCCTGGCGCCCGGAACGCGCCAGGGGCGTTGCCGGAGACGCCGCCAGGGGGGGCTCACCGCGGATCCAAGACATCCGCGCGGAGTTCCAAAAGTTCACATAATGTTTATTCAGTTATTGTTCCTCGAAGCCCCCACCAACCATCGACTCTCCTGAATCCATGGAGGCGGGGGTAGGTTTCAGATTTCGCCTCGTGTTCGACGAATGCCGACGGTACGGTTCGGATTTCGCCGCCGGATGGTAGCCAAGCCGAGGGGCAAAGCTTCTCCTCGGAGTCGAAAAAACACCTGGGGCACGCGCGCGCACGCTTTCGCGCCGCGACTGCGCTCGCCCCCCCGCGGTGCCGCAGTGCCGCCGACCAGTGCCCTGGGCGCGTCTGGGAGCCAGAATGGCGGGCGCGACGGGGCGCAGGCTGTGGACGCTGGCAGGCGGGCGGAGGCTCGGCTTGTCCTCCCACAGCTGGACGAGCACCACGACAACGACGACGACGACGACGACGACGACGACGACGACGACGACGACGACGACGACGACGACGACCTCGACGACGAGCTCGCCTTCTGCGTTTCTTCCCCCCCCTCTGCTCCTTCCCCCGCCCCCTCCCTTGCCGATCCCCCCATCCAGAGGCTCAAGGAGACCCCAAAGACGCCCAAAGCGCCCAACACCATTTACACGTTGACGTCTACCCTCTTCCTCTCCCCCATTGCCCCTCCCTCTCCACCCCCCTCCTCTCGGAGGGCCAGCGGAAACAGCGGCAGGCCTCCCGAATGAAAATGAGAAGGAATGGGTGAGGAGAGGGTGGCCCTTTCGGCCCTCCTCTCGCCCGTCCTCCTCCTGGGCTTGCTGGGCACAGAGCCAAAAGACGCCAGGGCCCCCCGCGAAAGATGCCTAACGCCATCGAGACATTTACACATACCTCCTCCGCCGCCGCCGCCTCCTCTTCCTCCCCCTCCGTCATCGCCTTCTCCCATCCTCCCTATCCGCCCTATCTTCCCCCTCCTCCCTCCCTCCCTCCATCCCAGCTGCCGCCCCGGTTCGAAAGGTTTCGGGCGCCGTACCAGGTACGGCCGCGCGCGCCGGCCCGCGCCCGAGCCTCGGGCGTGCGGGCCCCGCCGCGCCGCCGCTCGCGCTGCCAGCGGCGGGCCTGCTCCTGGCCCGCCTCTCGCGCTGCTCGCGGCGGCGCCCCCCTGATGGCGGCACGCCGCGCCAGCGCCCCAGCGGAGGCGGCAGCGAGCCGGCTTGGCACGGGCGTGCCCGACAACAACGCGCACAGGCCCCACTGGTGCTGCGTCTGGTGAGTGCTGCGAAGTGTCTCGCAACGCACCACGGCGCCATGGCGTGGCAGGCCAAAGGCAAAGGCGGAGGAAAGGGCTGTCAGTCTCCGCCGTCCCCGCCGCCGCCGCCGTGGTGGTGTCCAGCACGCGGGCACGCCAATGCCGCCAGTGACCTGATGTGCAGGACCTGCTACCCGCTCCCGCAGCAGAGTCCCGCGGCGTTCAGCGTGTTCCGTGACCAACCGCATCACCAGCAGCAGCATGCAGGCAGCGGGCCGCAGCAGCAGCAGCAGCAGCATGCAGCAGCGGGCAGCGGGCGAGATCAGCACGGAGGAAGTGGACGCGACCAGCGGCGGCGGAGGCGTACCTCAAGGCCGGCGCACAGCAACGCTCGCCCCAGCCGTCGGCGCAGCCCGAGCCGTGCTCCGCCGCCGCCCCACCATCGGCAACGAGATGGCGAGCCTGCGGAGAAACCAGCCCCAGAGGTGCCCTCCCGACGACAGTCATCCCGCCGTCGCTCGCCAGCTACTGACGTCACGTTCGATGAGAGCGAGGCCGAGTCGACGGAGGGGACGGCGGATCGTCCAAAAAGACGGCAGGAGGCGCTTGGCGTGCCCCCTGCAATGCCAGAGCAGGCGCGTGCGCACCCGGCCTGGGTGCAGCCACCGACGGATCCTGCTGCCTCTGTCAACCACAGGCGCAACCTCCGCCGCATGGCAGTGGCGTCGGCAAAGATGCTTCGCGCGTCCCGCGAGCTCGGCCTGCCGACCAGCATCCTAGAGGCGCAGGAGCAGGAATACTCGGTCCTGATGACAATGACCATCGTGGCCAGGACCCCCGAGGTGCGCCTTGCGAGGCAGCGGGCGTTCCTCGAGCGCGCCCAACGCCGCTCCGATCGGCCGGAGAAGGCGGCGCGCGAGGCCACGATTGAGCACGAGGCTCGCCAGCTGGTCCAGCAGCATCGCGCCAAGGAGCTGACCCGTGCACAGGTCTTGCTTCAGCAGCTCGAGACCCTCTCCCCGCTGCCAGCTGCCGCAAATGACGTCGAAATGCAGGGCGCCGCAACGCCTATGGCGGAGGGCGTGGCGCCCACCGCGCCCGTGGCTACGGCGCCGACCCAGATTCCAGGCGCCTCGGTCGCAGCCGTCGCCGAGATCCAGCAGGGCCAGGTGAGCATGGCGCAGCAGATCGCGGGGCTGGCCACGGCACTGGGCGGGCTGCAGTCGGCACTGACGCAGATCGCGGCGGCAGCAGGCATGGCGGCGACTACTGCTGCGACGACCCCAGCCGCACAGCCAGCTGCTGATGCCAATCCTGCCCCGCCTGCGCAGCCCACGCAGTGCGTCGCCGCAGTGGCGCAGGCCGCTGCGCGGCATGTCCTACTATGACGGCAGCCCAGGTCCAGGCGCAGGCAGCGATTGACGCAGTCAGGCGGCGTGGGGCGAGCGCAGGGCGGCTCGCCAGGCGCGCGCTCGCGCTGCTGCCGAGGCTCGCGCGAAGGCAGCAGCGGACGAGAAGGCAGCCCTGCAGGCCCAGGGACTGGCGGCTGCTGGGCAGCCCACCCTCAAGACAGTCATCGCAGCGTCGGGTTCAGTGACGCTACCAGGAGGCGCGCTTCCACGCGTGGTGCCGGGCGAGGAGCGACCCGAACCCGCGGGGAGAGATGGGCCAGCAGGGGCCAGAAGCCGCGACCGCAGCCCGCGCCGCACGAACGCGGAGGAGGTTCGCGCTGGACAGAGTTCGGAAGACGATATCGACGTGACGCAAGCGAGCCCGTCGTACAAGGGGTGAGCCAGCCTGCAGAGCCGCGAAGCGCCAGTGGGGATCAGCCCGCGCGGGCTCCGAGCGTCGCGGCTCTGCCAGGGCACCCAGCTCCTTCGCTCTCTCTCCCATTTTCGTGGAGCCGAAATCCACGCAACATCCTGTGCCATGCCTCTTTCGCCATCGTCTCCATTATAGTGCCGTTGATTTCTTGACACAGTATGCCTGCTCTATTGATGTTCACGACG